ATCTCTGAGTTTTGAGTGGGCGCATGTCGCCAGTGTGCTGCGTTACTGTTTACATGTGTGAAAAGTGTGTTTGAAAACGAATCTGATTGCATTATAGCCTATAGCCGGGTCCGGTAGAGGCCGAGAGGCCGAAACAGATACGGTACCGGTCGGTCAGTCAGTCCGGTCTAGGTCGAGTCTAGGCTAGTTGTAGTCTATAGATAGATTGGGTACATCGGTTCAGGGCTTTTGGCAGTTGGTACCGAGTACATCGCTGCTGCGCTACGTGTGAACCGGAAGTGGTGACGGCTCAGCGTGGAAGGAGACAGGCATAGCCAGACCTTCGGAGTGCAGGCCATTGCTGGGACCTGCGCTGTACTCTGCCAGCACGCAGGGGCTGAGGTCTGGGCTATCGAGGTCTGCTGGAGGCGAGAGAGATTGGTGCCCTGCTGGACCCTCCTCCGGAGTGGGGTCCCACGGGGTTTGCGCTGCAGCCATAGCTGCAGCTTCTTCTTCTCAGAGGTCATCTTGTCAGGGTTTGGTGGCGCTGCTGCAGACTTCCACCCGGGAAGTCTTCCGACACTTCGTCATCATCAGATACTGTGGCGCTGGTCTTCTTCTCCATCCTCTGAGTGGCGCTTGGCCTCAGAGGCCTGTTTCAGGGTGGCGCTGCCCCCAGGAGGCTGTATCTGGGTGGCGCTTGATGTTTCAGGGGCTCAGGGGTGTTACGGGTGTTATTCAGGGTTGGGGAGTGAAGCGCTGCTCATTTCTGAGCAGCGCACTGTAGTACTGAAGTTATCCTGATAATTCGAGACTCTGAGTTTTTAAACAGTGTAATACTGTGTTTGCACTATCATCGTTTCATTGTTCCCTGGATGTGATCTGCTCGGCTTTTCTCTATGACTGGTTGTGAGGATTGAGTGGAGTGAATTGCACTTTCAGTGTACCCTGTCATATCACATGGTCAAGTCTTCCGCTGTGTTTATCTCTCGCTGTGCGGTGTGATACTCCTATCCTCTCCCCTTCCTTCTGTGTATGTATGGGCATACCTGGAGGTCTATGTGAGTGAGTGTTGGTCATCAGACAGCAAACAACCAGAATCATAACACTTACCTATCGGACGCCAT